GGGCTTTGGGATCTTGGGTCTGATGCCATCCGGAGACCCAACATGTGACAGTAGCCCCTGGCCAGCATGGGGTCCTGGGGATGCCAAGTGACCAATGCGGTCCCAGCCCATGGCCATCCAGTGGGTTTATGGACCCATTCCGTGGTGGCGCCCTGGTCTGCAGGTCCACAGCAGGTTGGTGGCCCTGAGCAGCTGCCAGGATCCTCTCACTGTTTCCCTGACCTGTGGAGTGAGGGCCATCATGGCAGAGAAGGCAAAGTCAGAGCCCCTGAAACCACCTTCAACCCCGGCAAGGACAGCAGCTTGGAAGTCAGGCTCCCTCTGTAGCCCCCCGGCTGGTGGGCTGTGGGCACAGGCAGGGGTTATCCCACTGGGTTAGCATGAGGGAGCACTTGTAGGCCCAGGGAGGACAATGCCTGGAGCTCGGAGGAATCACTTCTGTGGCTTCCATGCTGGGCACAGAGTGGCCGATGAGTGACACCCACCTGACAAGCCGGTGACCGAGGCTCACTCCTCAGATTGGGGTCTGGGTCACAGCGTCAGATGTAACCTCTGCCAGCAGGAGCGCGGGCCGGGGTGGAGGAGGAGGAGGGCCTCCTGCCGTGGGGGTGCCTGCAGACTGGCTCATCACCAGCCCCCCCCCGCAACTTCCACGGCTGTCTCTGTTGCTTTGGCTGCCACCACCCTGAAGAATCAGCCGCAGACAAGCTTAACATGGCATCCGCCGGAACAGATGCAAGCAGTGCTCGGGCTCCCAGCTGCTCTGGGGCCTGGGTTGTGCCCTTCGGGCTGCATTTGGTTTAAGCAGCAGCTGTGGGGACAGATAAAACTCACTCATGGCTGGGCGTAGTGGCTCACACCTGTAATTCCAACACTTTGGGAGTCTGAGGCAGGCGGATCATGAGGTCAGGAGATTGAGACCTTCTTGGCCAACATGGTGAAACCGCATCTCTACTAAAATACAAAAAATTAGCAGGGCGTGGTGGCATGTGCCTGTAATCCCAGCTACTTGGGAGGCTGAGGCAGGGGAATCACTTGAACCCGGGAGGCGGAGGTTGCAGTAAGCTGAGATCGCACCATTGCACTCCAACCTGGGTGAAAGAGCAAGTCTCTGTCTCAAAAAACAAACAAACAAACCAAACTCACACACGGCCAGGCGCGGTGGCTCATGCCTATAATCCCAGCACTTTGGGAGACCAAGACGGGCAGATCATGAGGTCAAGAGATCGAGACCATCCTGGCCAAAGTGGTGAAACCCCATCTCTACTAAAAATACAAAAATTAGCTGGGTGTGGTGGCGTGCGCCTGTAGTCCCAGCTACTTGGGAGGCTGAGGCAGGAGAATCACGTGAACCCAGGAGGCGGAGGTTGCAGTGAGCTGAGATTACACCACTGTACTCCAGCCTGGGGGACAGAGCAAGACTCCATCTCAAAAACAAACAAACAAACAAAACGCAATCGCAGTCAGTGCCGCCTCTAGCGCCCTCCATAGCATTGCAGGGTGCTCGTCCAGCTTGCATGCAGGGCAGACCTGGGGAATGTGAGCTGGGTGGGGGTTGGTGGATAAATGCTCAGCCGCTCATTCTTCAAAAGGACTATTCAGGCTGCGCAGGGTGGCTCATGTCTGTAACCCCAGTGCTTTCAGAGGCTGAGGCGGGAGGATCGCTTGAGCCCCAGGAGTTTGAGACCAGCCTGGGCAACATAGTGAGACCCTGTCTATACTAAACGTTTTGTTTTAAATTTAAAAAAAAACTTAAAAGGACAATATGGAGGCACATTACCCTTTGCTCTGGGTCGCCAGTGGGGCTGGGACCTGGCTGTCCCAGGTTGTAAAGTGCATTCCTGTTTTTCCTCCTTCCTCATCCCTCCCCACTCCCTGCTCTTGCTCCTGCCTCAGTGGATCACCCTCTCTACAGAGCCAAATGGCTCCCAAAGTCACTCAGGACCCCAGAATGTTGACCTTGTTTCAAATTAGAGTCTTTGCAGATGCAGTTAAGACGAGGCCATACTAAAGTAGGGTGGACCCTAAATCCGACGGCAGGTCCCTGAGAAGAAGAGGAGAGACAGAGACAGCAAAATGACTCAGAGACGGAGGCAGAGCCTGGGGCAGTGCACCTGCCAGCCCAGGAGGGCCAGAGGTTCCCGGCAACTCCAGAAGCAGGAGGGAGGCCGGGGCAGGGTCCTCCCTGGAGCTTCCAGAGGGAACCGGCCCTGCAGCATCTTGATTTTGGACATTTGTCTCCAGGAAAGAACAGATTTCTGTCATTTTAAGGTACCTGGTTTGTGGTACTTTGTTTAGGCAGCGGATACCCCCAGCCCCAAATAAACTTCCAGCACCCAAGTCCTCGTCTCAGTCTCTGTTTGTAGGGGAACCCACAGGAGGACGCCCCTAGGTGTAAGCTCCACTTGGCCTGTGCACCCACCTGCCTCACTGGAGGGGAGAGGCAGGATAACAGCCGATGCCTGCCCCACGCCTGCCATGGGACAGAGAAGCTGGACGCTGTCCCCAATGTCCTGTCCCCTTTCACTCCACCTGAGGCCTCCAGCCTCGGGGAAGAGCAGGCCCAGCTCTCGGGGGCACTCAGGGGTCACTGCTCATGGTACACAGTCCAGCTTCCACAGAGACCAGGAAGCCACCAGCCCCCAAAGACTTGTCCCTGCTGAGATGAGGGTGTATGGAGCCCTGGCAGCCTCTCTGCCCACCAGCCTCTGCCCCAGGTGCCCCCTGTCTCAGGCAACACTGGCATCCCCTCCCCAAACAGGTTCCTCTCCGCTGCAAACCCTGACCCGCCCCCGCCCTCGTCTGCTCCTGCTCTCACTACCGGAATAGAAGTCGCGTTTGAAAGCACGCGCCCTCCCGTCCTTCCTGGCCCTGTAAATATGTGGGCAGAAACAGCAGCCTGCTGGGGGGAGTGATTGCTGGTTGCAGAATCAGGCACGGCTGCTGCCCAGGCGGGCCTGGCTGCGTGGGTGCCCGAGGCAGTTGCAAAGGCTGGCTTTAAATAGCTCCTGGTGGGTACAAGCCCGGGAAAGAGGGCAGCCTGCGGCCGCAAAGAGGACAAGGCAGAGATGGGGGCCAGGGTCCTCGAAGCAGAAAGGGGTGTGGGGGGTGGCTCAACAGCCTCCAGGTCCAGGGGATGCCCCCAAATAGTTCCCAGAATCTTGAACCAACCCACCCTTCCCCCAAAGGCCCAGGAGTTGGAGCCGACCCTCCCTGGCTGCCCTGGGTGGAAGGCCTGCCCTTGGGGCGGGAGCCTGGGAGCCTGGGGTGGGCAGTGGTGGTGGGCAGCCTGGGGCCCATCCCATAGCTATAGTGTGTGCCATCTGCGGCCTGGGCTCCTATCCCCAGAGCAATGTGGGCTCCAGGGAGGAGGGAGCGGTAACCCTGCAGGGAGGCCCAGGGAGCAGAGGGCAGGAGGCGGGACGGTGAGAGCCGGCCCTGCAGGGGTGTCTCTGTTCTTGGACAGGGAGCTGGCAGGCTCAGCCGCCTCACCCTGGTGTCAGGAGGTGGCCCGGAGCCCCAGTTGACCCAGATCCAGTTCTGCTGCTGCCCGGCCACCTGCTCTCTGCTTGCCCCAAAGCTCACTTCTGTTCTGTGTGCCACTTGTGGCCACACCAGAGCCTGGTCCATCCCACCCCCTCCATCCCCAGCCTGTCCCACCCACAGAACGGCCCTGCCAAGCCTCATAGCCTTGTCCTGCAGAGCAGGGGTGCTAAAGGGCAGCCTGGAAATGAGGAACGGTCATTAGGAAGTGGCGTGGGGGGACCTTCCAGCAGGGGACAGAGGTGGTGCATGGGGCGTGGTCTGGGCAGTGGTGGGCAATGCCCTCATCTGCTCTGGGTCACAGCCTGGCCCTGAGGGAAGCCACTCAGCCTGCGTCGGTCCCCGGGTGCAATGCCTGGGCCCCATTGGTGACTTGATCTTGCTGCTTGCTCACCCTGCCAGAGCTGCCGCAGGTCGTGCTAAGGACAGGTGACTCACACAGTCACCCCGGGTCCCCAGTGGTATGGAGATGGGGGCCACCCAGGCCTAGCTGCCACCCCGATTCCACAGGGCACTGACCTGGCCAACTTTGCCACCTCGCGAGCTGCCATGTGATGGCTCTGGACGCCTGGGTCCCACAGCAGATGGCAGAGCCCCGGACGCCTGGGTCCTGCAGCGGATGGCAGAGCCCCAGCAGTTGTTCCAACTGCTCCCTTCAGATTCTTCCACAAGTAATGACCCGGTGCCCTGGAAAACCTGGACCCCTCATTAAGAGCTGCCTGTCAGCTCCTTGGGCTGCAGTGTGCTCACCCTATGTCCATGGCAGTGGCAGCAGGTGGGAAAGGGCTGTGGTGTTTGTGGGGCCTCGGTGGCCTCCAAATGTCTATCCTCACATCCAAGAAGGGACCATGGTGGCACCTAGCCCTGGACACCCCATGGACCAAAGGCCTCAGGGACCAATGGGCTGGCAGCTCCTCTAGCTCCCTCTAGGCCTCTGCACCTCGGCCCTCCCTCAGTACCCCAGACATGGCTCATCTGGGATCCAGCCCCTGAGCCCCTGTGTCCCTGAGTCTCTGTCCCCAAGTCTGGTGTTGAGCCCCAGGATCTCAGGAAGGCACCTCAAAAGCTCCAGGCTTTGGGACCGGCGACCCTGAGCTCACTCCCCGACACTGTGGTGCAGGCTCCTGCCTCACGCCCCTGGAGAAAACGGCCTCATCACAGCACAGGGACATAGATGAAGAGACCCAGTGCCTGAAGCCAGCATCACAAAAACTGGTTCCTCACTTCCTGAAGCCCTTCCCTCGAAGCCTGCCCTGCTGACAAGGACAGCCTCCTTCCCGGGACCTCGACCCACTGTTTCCGCTGGGCAAGGCGTGTGTTCAACCCTGAGTGTTCTCTGGGCTTCCACAATCAGCTCCACCCAGACACCGCCCGGGAAGCCTGCAGCTGGAGAAGGGTGTTCCGGGCAGCTAGGGTGGGCTCTAGGCACCCCAGGAGCGAAGCGCGGCACAGCGAGAGAGAACGAAGCGGCCCCCAGGCCAAGGCTTTATTTCATGCTGGGGCCAGACAGATTTCACCAACACCTTCACTGCTCACCAGATGGACGTCCGCTCCCACCTCCTCCCACGCTCCGATCCCCGTCCCGCACAGCAGAGACCTAGAAACCAGGATCACTTTCTGAGCCTAAAAATCCGTGGCTCCCTCAAGGGCCCAGACCCCAGCCTGGCTCAGTCTCTCGGTCAGACCCTCTGCTCCTTCATCTGTGCGGGTCTCGCGCTGCCTACTGGAGAGCCCCAGGCTGGCCTTTCGGGTGAGGTCAGAGCTCAGGGAGGCCGAGGCTTCCTCTTGTTTTCCGTGGCCGACTGTCATCCCACTTTGAAACACGCAGAGAGGGAAGGTGGACCAAGGGCTCTTTCTCCCAGGAAGTTTCTGGGCAGCCACCACCGGGCGCCAGGACAAGCGAGGGTGGCCTGAGTCCTGTGCTCACATGGCGTACGCCGCCCAGTAGATGACATTGACGGCTGCGAATGCCGCAGGGAACACAGCGCGGGCGTAAATGTCAATGGTGTCTGCGTCGATGGGCCTGAGCCGGGCGCGGATGCCCCCCTGGCCTCCCGAGCGGGCTGCCCCCTCCTTCTTCATCTCCCCCGTCTCCACCCCCACCGACCTGTAGGAGCCCATCAGGTTCCCTGGGACGCGGCGCTGCCGGCGGGAGATGGCCAGTTCCTGCGTGACGCCGGCAGCAGAGAGGGAGAAGAGGACGATGGCGTTCCTCACGTCCATCTGCACGGGGGCCAGTGGGGGAGACAGGGCTGAGCGCTGGGGTGCAACTCCCAGGGCCCTGGACCACAGGTGCTCCCATGCAGGGCCCCGCCTGAGCCAGCAGCTCCAGCCCCCCACGCTCAGGGAGCACAGCTGGGACCCACAGTGGGCTGGAGCAGCTGAGGGGTCTTCGTTGGGGCCCCCAGCAGTGCTGTCCCTGGTTCAGTCCCAGGCCCTCACCTCTGCCCTCGGCCTGGAGACCTTGACCTTGGCCTTGGCCTTCTGCTTCTTCCTGTAGTCGGCATTGAAGTGCGCGAAGGCGTACTCCACCAGGGCGGCAAACACGAAGACGTAGCAGATCCAGAAGTAGACATCCAGTGCCTTGATGGCCGATGCCCGTGGCAGGGAGGAGCGGGCACTGACCATGAGCGTGGTCATCGTCAGCACCGTGGTGATGCCTGCCGGGCACAGGTGGTACCATCATTGTAGCCCTGCCCTCATGCTGTCCCACCCCCAGCCTTGGTGCCTGTGACCCACGGATAAGGGTCCGCTGCCCCCCACCCCCATGCCCACCCCAGGGAGCAGGTCCTGCTCCCCTGACCCAGCCTGGCCCAGTTGGCCATTGCCCCAGGACAGCTGGCATGGTCCGGAGGCCAGTGCTGGGCCCCCAGCTGAGGGATGAGAAGTCCTGCTCCCCAGGACGGATCTTCCAGCCCCCTCGGAGCATCGGCCCCGTACCTAGAGACACCCTGGCGGGCACCGCCGCCTGGCTAATCCAGAAGGAGACCCAGGACATGGCGACCAGCAGGACGGAGGGCATGTAGGACTGGATGATGTACACGCCGCGGTTCCTCCGCAGGTGAAAGTGCAGGCTGAGCCGCGGGAACTGGCCGGCTGCCAGGACAGCCACCGTCAGCGCCCCCGTCCCTGCCCAGCCCAGCCCAACCGTGGGACTCAGGGGCGGCAGGGCTTGGCAGCTACGGGGCCCACAGCAGGGCTCAGAAGAGAGACTTAGACCCCTGCCCTCCCCACCAACCACATGGCCTGAAATGTCTGGGGGTCTCCGGCCCTAGGTCTGGCCACAGGACAGGCTGGTCCTGAGCAGTGTAACCCAGAGGAGAAGGAGAGAGGCTGAGGCTGCTGCTGGCCTCATGTTTGCTGGACTGACCCTGAGGGACCCTCGCAGCCAATGGGGAGGGCGCACTCCTTTCCCTCCTAACACTCCTGCGGGCACAGCCAGGCTCTGGAAGGAGCTGGCACTGGGCTCACCGCTCTGGATGACTGGGGACGGGGGGCGTAGGGGTGGGAAAGTGGAGCTGGGAGACAAGGTAGACAAGGAAAGCTTGGCCCCTGAGCCCTGCAGACCTGGGGCTAAGAGAGCTCCCCACACCCTCACGTTTCCGGTAAACCTGGAGTGCTGGGAAGAGAGAGGACCGGGGAGTGAGATGGGAAGGGCTGACCCACGTCCATACGATGGCAGGCCTGGCGGCCCTGGTGTGGGTGTAGCTGGTGCCAATGAGCAAGTTCCTAAGGCAGGAGCGTCCCAGCTGCATCCCCAGGGGCCCTGAGGGCCTGCGGGTGGCTTGGCGAAAAAGCATGAAAACCACAAGCGGGCACGTGCGGAAGGGGTGGCGGGCACACACGGAAGGGGCGGCGGGCACACGCGGAAGGGGCGGCGGGCACACGCGGAAGGGGCGGCGGGCACACGCGGAAGGGGCGGCGGGCACACACGGAAGGGGCGGCGGGCACACGCGGAAGGGGCGGCGGGCACACGCGGAAGGGGCGGCAGGCACACGTTACCGGACTTGAAGTTCATCAGCTCCGTGGTGAAGCGGTAGCTGGTGATGGTGAACTGTGCCAGCTGCAGTTTGTCCAGACCGTGGATGTGCTCCTGGCTCTCCGACCAGTAGTAGACAATGTCCTCCGATGAGTAACCGTCTGCAGGAAAAGCACACAGGTGGGCGGCAGAGCCTGGTCCTGCCCCGGGAGCCCTGGCAGGAGCGCTCTGTCCACACAGGAAGCCTGCAGGGAGCTGACACCATCATGATGGGGACCGAGCAGGACCCCAGCCAGGAGCGAGGAGGCCTTCAGCTCTGGGACCATGTCGGGCTCCTCTGGGCAGGTGGAAGGGACACAGATGGGGCCACCATCGTCAGGTGACACACAGGGGCTGCAGCACTGGCTTAACGATACCAATCCGTGTCATGTCTGGGCTCCACGGCCCGGCTCCTCAGGCATGGACGGACCCACAGGCCAGACTGCTCCAGGCCTTCCGGCCTCTTCTCCTCCTGCCCAGGCTTCTTGCTCATGCAGAAGCTGGTTTGGTGCTTTCCTGCACCCTGTGCCGGACCAGCCTTGTCCAGGCCCTGGGCTGACAGTCTGAGCCCCCATCCACTGCTGGAGAAGCCAGCATGGCCCTCGAGAGAAGCCCCTGCCCGCCTTGCGCGCCCACTCACAGCTCTCCAGCTCCAGCATGCACTCCTGCTCATCCATGGGATATTTGGCCAGGTCCATGTCGCAGGCCACAGTGGAGGTGATTCTGCCAAGACAAGCATGGCGGTGAGGCCTTGGGGGCGAGGCCAGCCCTCCCAGAAGCCTGGCAGTTCCCCTGTAGAGATGCCCGCTGAGTACCAGGGGCTGCCTGGAGCCCGAGCTACTTCTCAGGCTGTGTTTGTTAGTTGCCCAGAATCCAGGTAAACCTGAAAACTGCTCAACTTCAGAGACGCTTGCAAGTCTTCATTTAGGACTATCAAGAACTGGATTTCATTCATTCTCTTCAAAACGCTTGACTATTTAACTGGGCTGGGGGCCTACGGGGCAGGGGACAGCCTGAACACCCAGGCCCTGGCCTGAGCGATGGCTGGGGAACACACAGGAATAGGCCCAGAGTCGCCATGCGCTTGATTTTCTAGGAGAGGTCACATATTTGAATTCTTATGTAAAATATCCTGATTTTTTTGTTTGTTTATGAGACAGGGTCTCACTCTGTCACCCAAGCTGGAGTGCAGTGGTGCAATCTTGATTCACTACAGCCTCAACCCCCTGGGCTCACGTGATCCTCCCACCTCAGCCTCCCAAGTAGCTGAGACCACAGGTGCGCACCACCAAGCCCAGCTAATATTTTTTATTATTTTTGTAGAGGCAGAATCTCCCTGTGTTGCCCAGGCTGGTCTCGAACTCCCAGGCTGAGGTGATCCTCTCACCTCAGCCTCCAAAAAGTGTTGGGATTACAAGGGTGACCCACTGCACCCGGCTGCCTCCTGATTTTTTTTTTTTTTTTTTTTTGAGACAGAGTGATGTCACCAGGCTGGAGTGCAGTTGTGCAATCTCGACTCACTGCAACCTCCGCCTCCCGGGTTCAAGTGACTCTCCTGCCTCAGCCTCCCGAGTAGCTGGGATTACAGGCACCCACCACCACACCCAGCTAATATTTTGTATTTTTAGTAGAGACGGGTTTTCACCATGTTGGCCAGGATGGTCTCGATCTCTTGACCTCGTGATCCACCCACCTCGGTCTCCCAAAGTGCTGGGATCACAGGTGTGAGCCACTGCGGGCGGCCACATGCCTCTTGATTTTTTTAAGTGTTGCGAGCTAATTCCATTTTTGAGAGGCATGTGTCTGAAAACAGGCTTTCAAACGAATGTGCGCACACACGTTCATAGCAGTGTTTTCACATTCACCAACGCAGGAAGCCACCCAGGCGCCCCTCGGCAGATGGATGGAAGGCAGGTGCAGCACGTCCCTGCCATGGGCTACTGCCCGGCTGTGAAGAAGAAGGCACCCCGGACTCCAGCTTCAGCAGGGGTGAACCCTGAGGACACGGTGCTGAGTACGAAGCCGGAGTCATAAACGGTCCCACACACAGCGTGTGATTCCCTGTCGGCGAAATGTTTCTGTCTCTGACCAGATCCACAGAGACAGAAAGCAAACGGGTGGCTGCTGGGGCTCCAGGGGGGGCGGAGTGGAGAGCACCTACTCCGTGGCTGGGTCTCCTTTCGGGGTCCTGAAATGTTTTGGACCAGACAGAGGTGGGGTTGCACAACAGGGCGAATCTGCCAAATGCCACTGCATTGTTCACTTTACAAAGGTTAATTTTATTCCACCCCATTTTAAAAACCAAAAGGCACTGTGTTGGCCAAAAAGCCACATCTGCCGGCTTCCTGTCGGCGACCTTGGAGCGTGGATGTTTCCCCAGCAGCTGCGGGGATATAAATAACTGCGCAGCTTCTGCCCCCCCAGCTCCTGGCAGCAGGAACCGCTCGAGCTTTTCCAAGCCTTGGAGCGTCCAGGCGCCGACATGGGCCCGGGCAGGCTGTCCCCCAGGGCCCCGGTGGGCGGCCCGCTCACCGGATGCTGTACAGGATCACGCCGTCGGGCTGCAGCCGGATGAGCTTGTTCTCCACTGTCACGTCATGGAACCAGGCCGACTTGGCGTTCACGATGAAGGTGTCGGGCAGCCAGAGCTTGTCCACGAAGCGGCTGTCCAGGCCCAGGGTCTCATTGGTGTGGTTGTAGGAGAGCCTGCTGTCCCGCCAGCTCTGGTGCAGGAACACCGTCATGGTGTACTCCTGTGGAGGCGGCACAGGGGCCGGGGTCAGCCTCGCTCCACCCCCAGGGGCATGCAGCCCAGGGCAGAGGCTGTGGGCACCCACCATGCCTGAGGCAGAGGCTTGTGGCACCTACCATGTTGGCCTCTGAGATGTGGTCGATGCTGGCCACCTCCAGAGCGAGGGCCACATTCACGGGAGGCCCTGTGAGGAAGGAGAAGAACTAAGAAGGGCTGAGGCCAGCCCAGCACGGGAGCCAGGGAGTCACAGGCAGTCAGCCATCATGGCCCGAGAAGTTGCACCTCCCTGGCTGTCTCTGTAGGAGCCTGGCTCTGATGGAGCCCCCGGGGGAGAGCCAGGCTTCCCTGCCCAGAGCGCAGCCCGTAGCCCAGTGGGCCACACAGCCACGGCCTAGCCCGGGGCCCCAGTGGCTCCTGCCTGCCGGGCCTGGGCCGCCCCTCACCTCCAATGCCAGGCCGAAAGTTGCGGGCATAGCCGGCTATCAGCCCATCCAGGTTGGGGAGCCAGGAGATCTCCAGGTTGGAGCCCACGTAGTCGCCAATGTCATTCATCGCTCTGCGGATGCAAGGCCACTGGTCAGACAGGCCAGGACTTAATTTAATTCCACTGAGCCCGGGTCCTCTCCTGGGGATGCAGCACTGTTCTGGGCACCTGGGCCAGGGTGTGGGGGGCCACTGTGGGAGCCCTTGCAGACAGGGGCCAGGACAGTCCCCGAGGCTCCGGCTGGACACAGGGAATCCTGGGAGGTCCTCAGCCTCTTCCACCGGCCCTGACCTGGCTTCCTCCTCTGACCTCAGTGCCCACTCTGCTCTCCTGGCTTTGCGGGAGGTGGCCCTGGAGAGGGACAGAGCCCCCCAGTGTGGGCCAAGCTCCCAGGTTAACAGCCTCCCTCCTCAACCAGCCCACAGAGGCTGGCCTGGGGGTCTCCACCCCAGGGTCCCTCACCAAAGAGGCCTCCCTGTCGGCTTTTGAGGGCGAAGCTTCCCCCATTAGATGGTTTAGAGAAGAGGAATGTGAAGAAGAGGCAAGATGCAGGGACAGGAAGAGGACAGGGCCCCAAAACCCAGACCCACAGCCTCCTATTCTCTGTCTCCTCCCAGGAAGGCCTAGGGTGAGGCCCAGGTCCCCAGATGGCCATGTGTTTCTGGGGTTTAACTCGACCTCGGAGCAGCTCGGGGCAGCCAGCAGGGCCATGGGGGCGCTCAGGCTTGAGGGAGGCGTCTCCTCCCTATACACACCGTGCTGCCAGAGCCCGGAGCACCCCAGCACCCCCGGCCCCCATCTGCTCACCTGCACTGGGTTGAACAGTGTCCGCAAAATGTACATCCACCCAGAGCCTCAGAATATGAGCTTATTTGGGAATAAGGTCTTTGCAGAGGTAATTAGTTAAGATGAGGCCATACTGGATCGGGTGGGCCCTAAACCCAAGGCCTGGTGTCCTTAGAAGGGAAGAGGGAAGAAGCTGGTGACTGTGCAGGCAGAGATTGGGGTGAGGTATCCACAGGCCAAGGGAGGCCAGGGTTTCCAGCCACCGCCGGAGCTGGAATCAGGCTGGGGACAGAGGTTCCCTCAGAGCCTCCAGGGGAACCAGCCCCACCCACACCTTGATTTCAGGCTCCTGGCCTCCCGAGCTGCGAGAGAATAAGAGTCCGTTGTTTCAAGCCGTCCATTTCCTGGCGATTGTCACACCCGTCCTCCTGCACACAGGGCGGGGATTGGTCCCAGGGCTGGGGCCTTGAGATTAACCTCCCTGTATTCTTGGAATCATTTCTATCCAAGGGGGTGGCAGAGTGGCTTCAGACATGGCCTCCAGGTCACCAGGCCCCTGAGCCTGGCCCAAGCCCTCCCAGAGAGATGAGGGGTCAGGGCCTGAGTCAGCAGCCTCCGCCTCAACAAGCCTAGAGACAGATTTGACCCCAGTTCAGACACAGCCTTGAGCGGGTGCCGCATGCTGGGCCACTCCACAGGCCACCAAGAGCAGAGCACAGTCCCAGGCCTCCTCCACGCCTGGTTCCCCAGGACCCAGCTGATGGCCCCTCCCCTCCTCACAGTGGGGGCACAGTCGTTGGCCTCCTGCTCCCTCAGAGACTGCGACCTGGGCTCGAGGCACCCCTCCACGCCGCCTGTCTGGCGCAGTCAAGCTGAGGCCCGGCCACCAGCCCCACCCCGTGCAGCCCCCTCCCAGCACCCCGCACAGTGCACCTGCAGCCCACTCTGCTTGTCTGCCTCTCCAGCTCCAGCCCCCTTGAGTCCTTGGCTTCCCAAGGGAGGGGCAAGTGGGTCTGGTGCTTCAGGCTAAGTCCTGCCGGGGAGCTGCAGGGGCGGCTCCAAATCTTAAACCCACAGTTGCGGAGAAACACTGGGAAGGACGCAGGGAGGCAGACACTCTCCCTGCCTCGCCCTACGTCCAGCCTCAACCCTGCTCCACACACTTTATCCTCAGGTGTGTCCTGGGGCCCCCGAAGACCGCCGGGGTTTGGGAGGCAGCAGCAGGTGGGGGCTCAGGCCCTCTCCCTCTCCTTCAGAACCACTTTTTTTCTTGTTTTACATACTGACCTTTCAAAGATTTTGACTTTGAACCAAACGTTCCTTAGCTAACGAGATTTTGCCAACCCCAATCTGTCCTGGGCGACCGTGGTGGCCCAACTCTGGCAGGAGGAGACACCTGAAGGCAGCGTCCAGGGCTGCTATACATCCGGACCCACAACCCCGCACCCACTGGACCCCCAGAGTGGCCCGGCGCAGGGCTAAGGAGGGGCAAGCACTTTGGTAACAAAGGATAAGATGGAATCGAATTAAGTCCTGGCCAATTAAAAATGCAAATGGAAGCCACCCTGAAGGTCAGACGCAAAAGGATCTGAGTGAGGCTTTATTTTTGGACCTGCCCAGCTGCCATCTAGCCTGCCTGGAATGAGGCCATAGGAGACACCGTCCTTCCTGGGCCACGTCTCTTGCCCATCTCAGGGTGGTGGCACGTGTGGGGGGCATGAAGGCAAGACCAAGAGCAGCCCCTCCATGAAGCTCACCTGGAGGCACCTATGTCGTCTCTTGGGGGCGAGAAGGAAGCAGGCTCCCACCCCCACACCATTTCTCACCTAGGAGAGCGGCCGGTGGTTTTCCCACTGTGAACAGATGGGAAGGGCCAGCGTGTGGGGGCATGTGCTTCATGCCAGACTCTGGGGTCTGGAGGCCCCCCACTTCCTCAGGTCAGGATGTACAGGGCAGGCAGAGCTAGCGGGGGCTGGGGGGACACAGCCTGCACCAGAGGAGTTCGACACAGGTGGGGACGTCCTGACTCCGGTACGTCATGGAGATCTCGGGAGAGGGCTGCTGCCTCACCTGGTGGCCCTGCGGCCCAGTGGTGGCCTGAGCTTGGGGTTTCCTTTGGGTGGATGGACAGAGAGGCTCAGGGCCATACACCAGGCTCCAAGTCTACGCTCGGATTTAGGACTCCAAACTCAGGGGGCAGAGTGGGCGCCATGAAGACATGGCAGCTTCCCCCTCAGGTTGCTCTCCCTGGGTCACCTGGCCTCCTGCCCTCCTGGCCCCACTGAAAAACAAACCCATCCCTGTCACTTGTCTGTGCCCTGGGGACAGACAGGGAAGGTAGGTGTAGCTGGGAGCCTCCCCCTCCAGGCTCCTCCACGGCGCACACCCAACCCACATATCCCACAGCTCTGCTTTTAGAGCAGCACAAGCCTCCCAGCATTGCAGTTACCAAGGCAAAGAGGAGCACCGCCACCAGCGCACCGCGAGCTGGCACGGTAGGAGCCGCAGCACAGCTTCTCCAGGGAGACGGAGGTGCCGGCAGCCCGGGAGGGCCACCCACGCGGGCACACAGTCGGCAAGCTCAGTGCCTGCCGCGTGCATGGGTCTTCACACTTCGGGCCGACCCACGGCCGCCACACTCCTTTCCTATCCCACCCAGCCTTTCCCATGAGGAGCTGCTGCGATGGGGACCTGGGGTAATGGCCAGAATGGGTCCCACTGACATCCGATACGGCTCCAGGACGAGGACCCCGAGACTGAGGGAAGGGAGGGCGACTGTCCTGGTTTCTGGAGCGGAGGGGCACAGCCACGGATGCGAGGAGAGGCTCTTCATGGACAGAACCCCGCTAAGTCTGAAGGTGGCCCCTAGGGCTGAGCTGGCAGGTGCTTCCACCCTCCAGGCCTGCCCCTAGACGCCAAGAGCAGGAGGTTGAGCCCAGCACGTGTGTGTGTGTGGACAGAATGACCTCAAAAGAGAGGCTGTAGCGTGCAGCCAGGTGGTCACTGTTTTTAACCAGAGAGCTAGAGGGGAACACAGCGAGGCAGTGCACCTCTCACCAGGCAAGGTGTGCTCCCCAACAGCACCCTTCTTCCAGGGATGGGAGTGACCGCAGGCCCAGAGGGCCCCACTCCTGGCTGGGCCGCGGCCTTCCAGCTCTCCTGCCCGGGGAAACAGCCACAGAACCCCTTCCCCAACAGCCCAGGAGCCAGATGCAGGCTAGGATTAAGGATCTTCAGATTTTGGAAAAGGGAAATGGTGGACACAGAGGCTGGGGCTGGGGGCAGCCTGGAGAATTTCCCGGCGAGAAGTGTACATAAATAGGTCCAGAGGTAGGATTAACAAAGATGAGAAGAGTCTCATGTCCGTGCAGGACGGGACTTGCCGCCAACTGAGTTCTGGTGTCAAACTTGGGCTAAAACTTTGGGGTTTCAGAGCCGTCTAGATTTCAGCCTCTTGGCTAAGTGGCTGTGGGCCTGGGCTGGCAGCTGGCCGCATGTCTCCAGCACTGCATCTACGACTGTGCCCGAGGCTTTGTCCTTCCTCTCACCTTGAAGGAAGGGAAGGACAAGGGGAGAAAGGCCCACTGGGATTGATGGGAAGGACAAGGGGAGAAAGGCCCACTGGGATTGATGGAAAAACAAAGCTCTTCCCAGGACAGGGGCTGCTTAGATCCAGAGGCAGCCCTGACCCTGTGGTCTCCTGATGGGCACACGGCTGCTGCTGGACCCAAGCCTTCTGGGCTGTGTCCCCTGCACCTCCAACAGGAAAACTCTGACACGCCGCCCCGTGTGGGGTGCTGCCACCTCTACTGCGGTCAGCCACCTCTATGTCTGCATCTTCATGGTCTCTGAGATCCTGAATGCTGGGGGACAGCTTCTTGCTGTTTCTTCTGCAGTCTTTGCACTGAGGTGATTTTCAAAGACGCCCCTGAATGTCCTCTCGTTACTCCTAGGGAAGGCAGCCAGGCCCAGTGGTGGGGCCAAGTTGCCTGGGTGGCTGTGGAACCCATTTCAGATCCCCAAAGAGGAGGGGGTGGAGGGACTGTAGGCCAGAGGGGGCTCCAGCCCTGGGGGGCCTCCTTCTAAGCCTCTTCCTTCTCTGGGGAGCCCCTCCCAAAATAGTTAAGAAATCCACCATCTCTTTTCTGTGGCCAGGGGTACCTGGCCGCCGTCCACCTGCACACACTCAGGAGTTCTGTCCACGCCATTTGAAACGGGCTCTGAAAGGAGACCCTGGAGGCCGGGCCCACCCTCCACAGCGACACAGCCTCCTCCGTCCGTCCCAGACCCGCCGGCTGGGGAAGCTCATTCGGGGAACGGGGAACCGCTCCCCCGGCAAAGGGAGCAGCCTCCCCGCACCGAGTTCTCGGGTCTTTCCTTTCCTCAAGGCACCGGCCGGGCAGGGACCCGCGAGTGCCGCGGACCCGGGGACCCTCCACGCGCGCCACGGAGCCGGGGAAACCGGGAGGCTACGACGCTCTTGTCCCGCCCGGGTTCAGCACCAGGACGGCGGACAGCACCGGGCGGTGGCGGCCAGCGCGGGGGTCGCCGCGTCCCGAGCCCAAGGGCAGCGTCGGGGCGAGTCCAGCAAGGGGCCCGCGGCGCGAGACCCCGGGGAGGGAGGATGCGGGGCCCCCAGACTTGGGGTCCGGGGCCCGGGGCTCGCGCCGGCCGCTCTCCCAGCCGCTATCTCGGGCCGACGCCGGCCCCCCACCGCCCCCGACCGCGCGCCGCGGACCCCGCCCGCTCACCTGGTGCCGCGGAGCAGCTGCGCGCAGAGGAGCAGGAGCGGGGCCAGCAGCGGGGCGGGCGCGTCCATGGCCGCGGCGGGCTCGGGACGGGGTCCGCGCAAACTTGGCTCGCGGCGGCCGCACAGGCGGCACAGGCGGGCGGGAGCTGAGCGAGCGCGGCGCGGGCGCGAGGGGGCGGACGGAGCGCGGAGACCGCCCCGAGCCCGCCCCAGCCCGCCGCTCCCCGCAGCCCGGCCCCGCCCGCCGCTCCCCTCTCCTGCCCCCACCCGCCGCTCCTCTCCCCTCCCTTCCCCGTCTTCTCCTCTCCCCTCCCCTCCCCACCCCCGCTCGCCGCTCCCCTCCCCGCTCCCCTCCCCCCCTCCTCCCCCTTCCCGGTCCCCTCCGCTCTCCCCACCTCCCCCGTCCCCCTCCCCCAGCCGCGCCCCCTCCCTCCCGGGCAGCTCTCCGCGGCCGGGGTCTGGCTCTCCGGGACCGCTGCCCTCACGCGCCGCAGACGGGACCCTCCGCGTGTCTTCATGGGAGGGGACCGTGGCACAAGCCCCGCGTGGACACCGTGGTCCACGGGCGCGACAGAACCTCGTCCTGAGGCGGTTTGTGGGGGGTCGCAGGTCTGCGTGGCCGTGGCCGGTTCCGGCTGCGCTGGCCGGGGGTAGGGAGGGAGCCAGTCCCTGCTGCTGTCCGGAGAGAGACCTCCACCAGCGGCTGCTTCCAAAACCCTCCTGCCTTCGCCAGAGCCAGGGCGAGGCGACTTTGGGAGCAAGTCCCGGTCCCTGGGGACCCTCGACGGGGGCGGGGACAGGAAAAGCAGGTGGGGGCTGTGCCGCAGGTCGCAGTTCTGACTCTCCACACCTCTCAGGGCCCCAGGCCCGCCCTGCACACCCCTAGGATCTGGGAAAGGGAAGGCCTCACGCTCTCCTGCTTTGGATCTTTTGAACATAAAGTTGCGCTGCCGTTTCCTGAAGAGGCTGCTCACAAACTTTAATCATTGTTATGTCAGTTATTCACTTCTGGGCTCGCGATGTCGCTGACAGTACAGTGAAGCCCTCGTGAAAACACTTAAACATGCCGAAGCTGTCCCCGAGGCTGCTTGCTTCTGGATGAAGGGCCCTGGTGGCACAGGGGCAGGCGGAGGAAAGTGCAGAGAGGGATTTGCTGTGGAATTTCCAGCCCAATCCCTACTGTGGGAAATGGAAGAATGAGGCTGGTTCCACCTTGCTTTATTTTATTTTATTTTTCGAGATGGAGTCTTGCTCTGGTGCCCAGGCTGGAGTGCAATGGCACAGTCTCAGCTCACTGCAACCTCCACCTCCCAAATTCAAGCAAATCTCCTGCCTCAGCCTCCCAAGTAGCTGGGACTACAGGCACCTGCCATCACGCCCGGATATTTTTTCTATTTTTAGTACAGATGGGGTTTCACCATGTTGACCAGGCTGGTCTTGAACTTCTAACCTCATGATTCACCCGCCTCCGCCCCCCAAAGTGCTGGGATTACAGGCATGAGCCACCGCGCCCAGCCGCAGCCTGCTTCCCTAAATCCAGGAACTGGGCTGTAATAAGCCCAACGGGCTCAGCTCCAAGGCCCCCTTCCTGGCTGCTCACTGGTCACTGCCGAGAGGGGTCCTTTGGGTACAGAGGCACTGACCTCCCTGTGTTCCCGGGGTCCCTTTCCGAGCCTGTGCTCTGCACACGGGCAGCCTGGTTCCCACGTGCCCCTTCCCACGTGTTCCTTCCGTGGGTTAATTTAGGAGTTAATCCATGAAGAAGTGCCCAGAGCTTGGCCCGGCCCCCGGTGAGAGGCATAAGTTTTATTCTTTCCCCTCCAGGACAGCGGTCTTGTCGGTCTTCTCCTTGGTGGTGTATTGGATGAAGTAGGTCCTCAGCAAATGGAGGAGGAGGTGCGTGCTCCATAGTTGCAAAGTCCACACACACAGTGTGGCCAGCGTTCCATCACAGCCTCAGGACACTGCCCGGCCCTGCCTGGCTTTCATTCCTGAGCTTTGGAACGAAGCAGTGACAGTGGTTCATGGTCGCAATCCCTTCAATATCTGTGAAGATCTTATCTGAGAATATCTTTTTTTTTTTTTTTGAGATGGGGTCTCGCTCTGTCGCCCAGGCTGGAGTGCAGTGGCGCGATCTCCACTCACTGCAAGCTCCGCCTCCCAGGTTCATGCCATTCTCCTGCCTCAGCCTCCTGTGTAGCTGGGACTACAGGCACCCACCACCACGCCCGGCTAGTTTTTTGTATTTTTAGTAGAGACGGGGTTTCACCGTGTTAGCCAGGATGGTCTTGATCTCCTGATCTCGTGATCTGCCCGTCTCGGCCTCCCAAAGTGCTGGGATTACAGGTGTGAGCCACCGCGCCCGGCCTTCTTCTTTTTCTTTTAAGAGACAAGGTCTTGCTCTGTAGCCCAGCCTGGAGTGCAGTAGCACGATCTCAGCTCACTGTAGCCTCCACCTCCTGGGTTCA